CAGCATGAGAGGCGGGGGCGGGACGGCGAGGGGCCGAGGGAGCAGCCGCCCCCGCTCTGCGGGGAGCTGGGGGAGCTGGTGCGGAGCTCGGCAGCAGGGCGGGCGGCCGAGCCAAGGTCCCGGCACCGCGGGGGCTTTCGGAGCCGGGGTCAGTGCTGGGAGGTTTCAGGCGGGCTCCAGCACTGACACCGTGTTCACGGCCACGGGCTGGCGCCGGGTTCGTGGCCCGGGCAGAGGCAGTGGCGTTGCCAGGACAGCCCTTCTCTCCGGCCTTTCACGCGGCTTTGCCGAAGGCAGGTGTTTGTACAAAGCAGAAAGGTTCTCTTTCCCACTGTGATACTTTATCAGAATTGTTTGCTTTTCTTGTGCTCAGTACTTACACATACTGACTTAATTTCTGAAACAAATTTTTGTTACACTTTTGGAAGATTAAACTTAATTTTGTACAAGCTAATATTTTATAGCAATTCAAAATCTAAAAAGCAGTGATTTTGGCAAGCCATCTGTTATGTTTGCTTTTATTTTCTGCGTGGAGTTTAGAGAATTTCTAAATAACTGACATACGATAAAATAATTTTTCCTAATAACATAGAAGGTGAACGTATTTTGGGGGTTTTCTACTTACTTCATGAACCATTAGGCCACTTCTTTTGTTCCTGCTTTATCTTAAATAAGCTATTGTAATCCAGAACACTTGACGCATCTGAGACTGGCCATCAAAGAAGGCTAAAAAAAAAAAAAAGATTCGCTATGAATAACATGAATATTCAAGAGAGAAATATTATTGAAGAGTATGTTTTTTCTTAAGTTGCAGATTGTGTATCTAGAACATTTTCTGGTTTCGTGCGTAAGTTACCAGTTTGTTTTCAATTCCGTCAGCATTAGGAGTCGCAGAGAAATCAGACTTCTCAAATTAGGCTTTTTACATGATCAAGTGAGAAAGACCAAGGCTTTATTGACCATGAAAATTCCCTATATTTTTATGCCTTAAGCTGTAATATGCAATGAAAGTGAAACACTCTACAGTGCATAAAATTGTGCAAGTTTTAAGCCACAGCATATTAACCAGCTAATGGCAGACCAAAGGGCATTTTTATCTTTTTGATTCTTGCATTAACCTTCCATTAAAATTATCTATGTGATTATCACAAAGCACTGGAGATAATAAATTTAGGGAATAGCAGGCTTGTTAAATATCATTTAAAAATGCTTTCATCAAGTAAAATGTGCCAAAACACAGGGAAACTACGAGATTAGCTGAGTATGCAAACATCGTAACAAAAGAATTATTTTTATTGAAGCTGATCAAGTCTTTTATTGAAGCCCGTTACTACATTAGACCAGCACTCTGGGTCGTCACGACTTGCTGGGTTCGCCCGGAGGCATGGGTGACAAGGGTGGGATGTGGGGAGAGGGATGCTGGGAGCCTGTGGCTGCCGTGGCCGCCCCGTGCCACCCTGCGCCAAGCCGGGTGGGCCGCGGGGGTGAAGAGCCGGCAAGCGGCCCCACGCAGAGCGGGGTCTCCTGGAGCTCTGGGTTCTCTCTGCTGTCGTGTTGGCGGCCCGCTGGGACCGGGTTCGCTGGAGCCTCGTTCAGCCGGGTGGCGTGAGGCTCCCTCCCTCCCCAGGCTGTCCCGCAGAAGCGCCGACGAAATTAAATACCGTTTCATGTCTTGCAGGTTAACTATATTCTAGAGTCACGAGCAAGCACAGCCAGAGCAGACTATTTTGCTCAGAAACAAAGAAAACTGAGCAGGAGAACAAGCTTTAGCTTCCAGAAGGAGAAGAAATCGGGACAGCAGTAACGCCTAGCCTCAAGGAGAGCCTGTCTGCCGAATTCGGAGGAGGAGATGCTCCCCACCGCCCGAGACAGGTGGGAGCCAGGACTGCGGTGCTCCTGCTGCCAACAGGCAGGAGCAGCCGGGGAAGAAATCTGAATTACCCCGTGTCTCACGGTTGGAAGATTATCCCTCGTTGGTGATGGGAAGTCTCCCCTGTGACAAAAATAAAGAGCCATATCAGCCGGAAAGAAGACTGTTACGCTTCAGGTTCCTTTGATTAGAAATAAGAGAATGACGTAGACTGGCATCATTTAATTACTGTATTATGTACAATCACAAGAAGAGATGTGATTACATATTATTTCACAGCCTGGTTAAAATAAATTATATACATCTGTAATACACCCACGTACACACAGGTATTGCTTGTGACATGATCAAATTTCTAAAAACAAAATGTAGGACAAATGTATCCATTTTTACTATTAATAAACAGATGTAATCTTTTTCAAGGTCCATATGATGCACAGTTCTTTTGGGGGGAGGCTGTAGTCCCAGATGGTTTCGCTTCTGTTGCCGAAGTGCAGGAGGCAACCGTGAGCCAGGGAACGGCAGCCATTGCAGGGGAGCCGATTTGTGAAGAAACGCTGAGACAGTCAAGTCTGTTGTGGTTTGGTTTGTTCAAAAATATTTTTATTTAACTGTGCTTTTCAGCTTTGCATACGTTTAATTGGAAGTTACTTGCTCTAGTCAGCACGGTGTTTTGAAACCAAGGCAGCGTCTCCGCGGTTGAAAGGAGAGCGTCCTCCCGCGGATCCCCGGCTGCCGCCGCGCTGGGCTCTGCTCTCCCTCTCGGAGACAGCTTGCACCTGAGGACTGAGAAATGCCTTCACCTTTTCTTAGTATTATTCTTTGAAAATAAAAATTATGACCTACTTTGTACTGGGGTTTGTAACTGTTTTGGCCTTGTCCATCCTTAATACATCAGGGAACACATGAATGGGATTACTGGGAACCAGAGCTGCATTTTTGGTTCCGTTCACCAGAGGTGTCTTTCGTAAATCTTTCCGAGGCGTTGAAGCTGGAGCTCTCTGCACTGCTGCTGTGCGTTTTGTATCGAGGAAATGCCCTCGGTTCCGAGGCGTTCAACCGCGGCCGGGGCTGCGGGGCAGGGGCCCACAGGCGCCCAGGCTCCCTCCTGCCGCGCCGTGACCTCTGACAGTGTCCTACCTTGCTTTTGTATAGGGAAAACTTTCTGAGCCTTAACACATAGTTTAGGAATAAACACTAAGGCAGAGGTCTGCTTGTTTTAGGAATAAACACTAAGGCAGAGGTCTGTTTGTCACTTACCTGTTGCATTTAAGGTCTCGGTTTTCAAAGGTTTGGCCCTCCCAGAGCCAGTGTCGGTGCTGCCTCGGGAGGGGAGCCTGGCCCACACCACGGAGGCCAGTCTCCACTGTACAGTCTTCCATGATATCTGCAAAACAAGAGAAACAATATTTTCTAGTATGATATTAAATTTTTTAATATTTTATATGCGCAAATGCAGCACAGATGCAGCGGGGAAAGACCCTTCAAATAATGCAATGTAAATGACTCCTTTAACCAACTTTGTGAACTATTTAACATTAAAGTTGTTCTGTGAATGTTCTTTTGCCACCTAGTTTCAATTCTTTTTAACTGAACTAAAAAATTGCCTACTTTGGTATTAGAAACTGCAGAAGTCTCCTACTTGTTTCCATGGCCGTAATGCTGTTGCCACCCACTTACATTTATTTATTATAAGTAGATAATCAATACGTGCAGTATTTTGCTTTCAGTAAAGGCGAAAGATTGACGTAATAAAAAATCTCTGCTGTCTAAACTGTAGTAATGTTTGTGGGCGCATAGTCGCTTGCCCGGACGATGGGTGTTTACACCATCTCGTAAATCACCTTCCTCTTGCTTTGTCCTTGGTGCAGTCTTCCCGCGGGGCTGGGACAGGCGGCGCGGCGCGGGCAGGGCGGCAGGGACGGGCTGCTGCCGCTGGAGCCTCCTCCGAGGGCCTGGTGGGGAGCAGGCAAGGTGTGGAGCCCAGGATGAGTTTATTTGCTCTGAAAGAGCCGTTCACAGTTAAGAAGTGAATTTACTTTCAAAAATCAGATCCAGTTGAAAACGCGACGCGGAAGAAACCTTCCTTAAATTCGGGAAGCAGCCAGCTTTTCCAGAGCTGAACAGCCTCTCCCGCAGAATAGACAGTTCTACTATTTAGTGTTTGCTGAAAGAGTTAAACCGGAGCTCATGGTTGCAATCTGTGTGCAGCTGAACACAAATCCATCACGGGCTGGTCTTTCCCCGGTAGTTGTAGATTTAATTGATTCAGATGGGCATTCAACTGGGTCAGAAAAGCAAGCTGTTCCTTCCCTGCCTTGTTACTGGGCTTTGGCAGAAGAGGGTGGCTGCCGGCTCCCGTAACGAGGATGACTCCTCACGGACGTGCTTCGGTAGCTGTTGGAGGCATCAGAGGTTTTCTGAATTTTCTCTTACTTCTGCTGTTGGAGGGGGACCTGGCTTGCATGCGCACCTGAAGTTTTACGGTCGATTGTACCTCATGGTGTATGCTTGCAAAAAATCACGGGCACGGACCCAGCGAGGGTCAGGGAGCACAGGCACAGCGGGAGCGCAAGCAACCGGAGATGTTTCCCCTCGCAGTACCAGGAGCCCGGGGGACTCGTACCTGTGGGTTGGTCTCAGCCCGGCGCCTGCAGCAGCCAGCACTGCTCACAGCCGGCCGCTGGCTGCCCATCTTGCCCGTATTTGCACAAAAATATGCTGCTCGGAGGGTCCCGAATCCACCAGGAGAGATGGGTGACCTTTGTGGGGAGACCCTGAGGTCGTTCGTTGTGCTCCTGGGTGGCTGAGCGTTTGTCTGGGAGATTTGTGAAAGGACAAAACAGCTGATGAGTGGCTTTGCCTGCTCGGGAGCGGGCGGGCGGGTGGGGATGGCCAAGGCTGGTGCAGCCGCAGCGGGGCCCGCGGGTGGGCGGGGCCCTTGCC